TTCGAACAACTCCTTCAGTTGGGCTTCAAGCCGGCGACGGTGAACACAGGTGATCACGTGGATCGGTCCTGGCAAACTCTCACTTTTGCGCTCGAGACCCCGGACTCCGATCGGAAGCGGCCCCATGGCGCCCCGGTCAAAGCCGCGGAACATCGTCAACGATCGGCCGGCAAGAAGGCCGTCGCCGCGGGTTACCAGATGAAGAAGTCTGTCGTGGCTCCGCTGATCGGCACGGAGATGCACCCGGGTGAAGCGATCGCTTTCGCCTTGGAAGCTACGCACCCGTTCACAAAGGACGCGGATATCGACCCAGACCTCCTTGATGTTCTGGAGCAAATTGTTCGTGATCCTGCTCAAGTGCGCGATCGTCGAGCCTCTCTTCCGCAGCATTGGGAACGGCGAGCTCAAGATCTGCTCCCGTCCTCTGACTCCTTGCTCAAGCAGATACCAGATCGGCATTTGCGCCGTCTTCTTCGCGGCGGCCCAGACGATCGTCCACTGGAAATGGGTCAGTTTTTCCACGTCGCCCTTTGGCGGGAGCTCATGAATGAGGCCAAATGCAGTGACACTGACCTGGTAGATCAGATCATGGCGGGCATGCCGATCGTCGGCGATATTGCCTCCTCCCACCGATGGAAGCCCGATCGCAAACCTCATGCGGAGCATCTCTCGGTTGATGCCCTTCGCTCGAGGGCCTGGGAATTTCGATCGAAGGTGTTAGGCGCGATTCGGAAATCTCCGATCACCGAGCACTCTCCCAAGGTCTGGGAAGGGACCATGGAAGATGTTCGAGAAGGGTCGGCGATCGGTCCCTTCTTCGACGAGGCCGAAGTCTCGGAGTTCGTCGGCGATGATCGTTGGATCCCTACTCAGCGCTTTGAAGTGGTTCAAAAGAACAAAGTCAGGGGAGTTGACAGTGCTACCTCAAATGGGATCAACATGGCGACGATCGTCACCGAGAAACTCGAACTCCCCTCGACGGACGCGAACGTGGCGGTGATCAAGTGGCTGCGCTCGCGGCTGCCGAAGTCCCCGCTACGTGGTTGGGTCCTGGACGAGCGGCGAGCCTATCGGCAGGTGCCGATCTCTCCGGCCCATCGCAAGTGGAGTGTGGTCGCTCTGAAGGATCCGGCCACGGGAAAGGTGGCGTTCTTCGTGATGGTCGGCCACTCCTTCGGCTTGGTCTCGGCCGTCTATAACTACAACCGCCGCTCGGCTGCGATTACCGACATTCTAAGGCGCGTGTTCATCGTGGCCGGCTTCAACTTCTATGACGACAAGTACGGCTTCGAGCCGGAGGCCACGGCAGATAGTGCGTTCGCGCTGGCCGAGAAGGTCCATTGGTGGCTCGGGGCCCGGTTCGATCAGCAGAAGCTCCAGCTCTGCTCGGATCCCACGATCCTGGGCGTGACCTATGACCTCGATCAGTACTTGCTCAAGATCAAGAAGTCCAGGAAGCAGGAGCTCTTCGACGAGATCTCGTCGATCCTGGAACACGAAGAGATGTCTCCCGGCCAAGCCGGGAAGCTCAGAGGAAAGCTGATGTTCGGCGCTTCGCAGCTCTGGGGGAAGATCGGCCGAGCCTTCCTGAGATCTCTGTCGGAGAGGCAATACTCCCGGAAGACGGTCAGTACGAGCCTATCGCCTGCTCTCCTCTACTCCCTCTACAAGTGGCGGACGCTCGTGATGCATGGGCCTCCGAGGCCTATCCCCAGTTCGGGGCCGCGGAAGTCCGACGTGGTGATTTTCACGGATGGATCGGCGCCGAGCTCGAACCCCAAGGATCCCTCTTCTGAGATGATTGGAGGAGTGATGTTCACTAGGGACGATCAGCCTAGGCAATTCGCCTCGGGGGTGTCACGGCAGATCATGTCGAGGTGGTTCCCCCGGAAAACCCAAATTTGCATGATCGAACTTTTGGCCGCGGTCGCTGCGATACAGACTTTCAGGGAAGAGATCCGTGGAAAGCTGGTCCTCCTCTTTATCGATTCCGAGCCTGTAGAGGCAGCTTTGATCAAAGGCTACTCTGCAAAAGAGGACGTCTGCGAGCTCGTAGGAATTTTTTGGGAGCTTGTTCTGGAGCTTAGGTGCTCTGTTTATATCGATCGGGTACCGACCGATTCGAACCCGGCGGATAATCCCTCTCGTGGTGATGTCGCTACAGGTCTGATGTGTGGTTGGATCACTGTCCTCTCGGACTTTCCGAAAGGAGTTTGAGGGCCTGGGAATATCGCTTGTCTGATGTGTCCGATCGGATGATGTTGCGGTCTGTGGCGAATGCCATGGCGCACCCCTCGGCGATCGGGGGTCCGATCGGACTTGTGAAGATCAAGTGAAATTTTGATGATCCGACTGTGGCCGACTCCCACGTTGCGGTCGCATGAAAAAGGTGCGATCGCCGATAGTCTGTTCAGTGAGGGCACCGAACGTCTGCGATCGTAGTAACTGGTCTCCTAATTATCGGTCTGGTGGGTAGGAATTAGGAGATCAGTTTCGCGATCGTTGGAACAGACTTGATCTATCTTCTCCGTGGCCATTTTGGCGATAGCCGATCGGGCCATACCGAAAAATCCCACCCTCTCCACCCTATCTGTTCTTTTCGGTATGCGGGATCCTCGCAACGACGTTGGCCTTCAAGCGCTCGCTTTCGGCGACACAGATCAGCTCTGCCGTCCCTGCGTGGATTGCGGCCTGTTCACCGGCTGCTTCTGCGACGGGGACGGCCAAGACGAATGTTACGCAGCCGTTCGGGTCCCCCGCGAAGAGTGGGCCCCCAACCAGCGCACTCCTTTGTGCACGGCTTGCGATCGTCGCCTGGATATGTGTCATTTCTGCCGAAAGACCCCCTGGGTCACGCCGCCGGCTCATCGTGATCGCGATCGTCACCAGCCGGCCGGCTACGATCACGGGGCAGATCCTCCCCTCAACTGGGATCAAGTGATGGGCGTGCCCTCTGTTCAGCGGCCGGTGCCCAAAGCGCCCCCGGCCAGAGCTCATCGAAACAGAGGCATGGATCAGCCGGTCTACTATGTGGATCCCAAGGCTGGTCTGCCGCGCCAAGGCCGAGCGGCTCCGAAAGGGCGTTCTCCTTTGTTCGCCGAGCCTGCTCAGTACATAGTTCCAGGGCAGCCCCCCAGATCGCTCGACACGGTGCCCGATGATGTCCGCATCAGCGGACCGGCTCACTATGTCATTCCGGGGCAGCCCCCGCGGCGGCTAGATCAGCTCCCGCCCGGTACGCAGCTCCCTCCCGGCACCGAGATCATGGTGTCTACGAGGAGCTCGAGTCCGCCGACCAAGGCGCCCCCGACTCCCGCCCAGATCGCGGCGTACCAGGCTTCTCGCGCTACTCCCGCTCGGACGAGTGCCAAAGCTGCTCCTGACGCAGCTTTTCGTGCCGCCGAGCGGCAGTTGATCGACTTGCTCGGCGCGGCCCCCCTCGACGATGATCCAATCGAGGAGCCGTCGCCGGAGCCCGATGATCCGATCGAAGACTTTTAATTTTGTTCGCGGGGAATATCGCTTGTCTGATGTGTCCGATCGGATGATGTTGCGGTCTGTGGCGAATGCCATGGCGCACCCCTCGGCGATCGGGGGTCCGATCGGACTTGTGAAGATCAAGTGAAATTTTGATGATCCGACTGTGGCCGACTCCCACGTTGCGGTCGCATGAAAAAGGTGCGATCGCCGATAGTCTGTTCAGTGAGGGCACCGAACGTCTGCGATCGTAGTAACTGATATATATATATATATATATACGTATATGTATGTGCGGAAAGCTTGACGCACGTGTTGTTGGGTGTGTGGAATTATTGTCTGGACAGCCATGCAAGAGCTTGATGTGATGTCTGGCCAGACAGGTGGCCATTGCATGCTGGATTATGCGGTCTGGACAAACCGGTCGGAATTGCTACTGGATAGGCACGTGTCGTGAATGGTTTACTTTTGTTTGCTGCAAAAAGAAACCTCGCGACCCCCAAAATCCGAAACCCCGAAATCCTCGAGCCTGAACCTGTAAACCCTAACCCCGGGCCCCAGAGTGGTGTTGTTTTGCAATAAAATTTGAAGCTTGAGTGCCTGGATAAGCAAGTTCTGCAGACTTCGGATTTTTACTGATGCCTCTCGAAGCTCTGCATAATTCGTAGATAGGAACGGAAAGTGTGTGCCCGTTCTTCTCCAAAACCACAAACCTCGGAACCTTTAACCCTGACCAATAAAAACCTGGCATCCCTTAAGCCCCAAGCTTAATCCAACCCGCAAACCCCGCAAACCCTTGAGTCTTAGTACTCCCACCCTGAAGCATAAAAAGCCTATCCAGGCATATCACATACACGATAGGCATTGCCAGTCACGATACAGAAATGCCTATCCAGGCATTTCTGCATGCACGATATGCCTGTCCAGGCACAACACAGCTGCCTCTGACGGCTTATATAGAAGTAGGAGTGAAAGCTTGCCGCAACATGTGAATTCATATGATATTTTGCACAACACGGAGCCACAACATATGAATTCAGGTGATATCCTGTGTTGTGCAGAGCCACAACATCTGAATTCATGTGATGTCCTGCGAAGCCCAGAGCCACAACAGGTGAATTCAGTTGATATCGTGTGAAGGCCAGACCATGTGAATTCATATGATGTTTTGTGCCACTCGTGAGGGAGCTCTTTTTTACAGATGCCGAATATTTTCTCACCAAACAAGACTGGGCTAAGTCGTTAAGTGATTGGTTTGCGAGCCAAAAACACAAAAAGGAGCTGCTGCTTTAATCCCACCCGAAGAGCTAGGGGTTGGTAGTTGGGCAATCTGACCAGTTTTGTTCCTAACCCTTTAATCCGACACACTGAAGCTCCAACCCTAAACCAACCCCTAAACCCTGAAACCTTGAAAGCCCAAGCCCTGTCAGCGGGGACTCGGATTGTTCCTGTGGAATCTTGCTCTCGCTTCGCGTGTATCGGCTGCAGTCTCAGTAGCTTAGTGGGGGCTCATTCAGCAGGAAATGGCACCCAGCCATGTTGGCTCCTCAGTCGATAGCGAGGCCGAACCATATCCGGTGAGACATGGCTCAGGTCTGCCCTACTCTAAACAGAGGGTTGCAGGAATTCGCAAAGGCGTGGGTGGCGTTTGTGCTGACACCCAAGCCGGTGCAACTTCCTTCGGAGATTTGCTAGGCTGCACGTGCAGATGTGGCACGCCGAAGGTGCACTGCTGTGTACCAAAGAGACTGATCAAATAACTTCATTGCAAGTTGCGATGTTAGCAGGCGTGGCTTGCATCACAAGTCGCTCGGGCTCAGTATGCGGTTGCAACAGCAGTGCCAACAGCTGCCAGCTTTGCGACTGTGGCTAAGCCAGCAAGGAGGACCAGTTGGTTTGCTTGTGCGCGAAAGGAACGCCCTTACTGTTGGCATGTCTTGGCATCGTCTAAGGTTATTCGTTTGCATTGTTTTGTGGGCTTCGGGGCCCATAGCCGCTGGTCAGGCGGCCTTCCTGTCTTAAAACCGAAAACGCATCTTCATGCTAGTGAGGAGTTGGAACCAACCTCGATGGCTCCAGCATGATGTCGCAAAGCCAGGTCACCAATGTACAGTTTTATGATGAAGACCCAGCGTGGTGTGGCTTGGCTTGTCGCCGATTCTGTGCATTTCTCATCATCCATCTGGTCATGGATACAACCAAGTTCAACTTGCTGGATCTATCAGTTGGGATCCGCCGGCAGATGTGACCGGCATAGACCACTATCTCGCCGCTTGCTTAAGTCTTTGCTGTTCGGTGTTGCTGCGGGGATTTTTGCTTTTCCGAGGTTCACCCTGCATGTAGTCCAGATCTTACCTTCGAAGCTGCCAACAATCCCGGCGGTGAACCTCTTATCGTGCATTACGGCGCCGGTGGCAGCCCGCCTGCAGGAGTCTGCAGTCTGCTCCTCTCGTTTCTACTTGTATGCTCTCGTCGCTGATTCTGATACCTGTGCTTGGCCCCTCATTTCCACCTCGGCCTCAAGCCGAGCTTCCCATTCAGAGCCCGAAGTCTCGCGAACATGCTTCAACCGGACGGTCTCGTGGCCATCCTGGAATGCAGTATCGTTTGGTGCCGGTCGCCAAACGTGAACAAAGGACCTCCTAAATGGGGTGTTTATGGGCGACTAGCATACATCTTGTTTCATGCCCGCCTCTCTCTAAGGCACCCTGCAGGATGTTCCAGCTCGGTTCTGAGAAGCGGATGTTTCGAGTGCTGCCAACCATTCCATGCACATTGGCGACTCCAGCTGTCTAGCTCCATTCCATGCAGACGTCGATGTAGGCTCCTGAGTAGCAAATCATGCCGATACACAGGTTGGAACGAACTCAATTCGTGGTGTCAGTGGGAGCAATGACTATTTCTTCAAGGCTTGCAGTCGTGTCCTTGGCGGTTCCGCTGCACAGCTTGCGACTTGTTACCACGCTGAGCCAAGGTGGCACCCAGTTCCAGAATCCCTGGGCCTGCACCCCGAGCTTTTTCAGTCGTGCACGAGCCTCAGAGATAGTTTTCCTAATTTTGCGGGGCGAAAGGCGGCGTACTTCGTCGTTGCCACGATGACTGATCAGTTGCGTGCTTGGTTTGGAGGATGCCAGGGCTTGCTTTCTGGTATGACGCGGCGGCACCGAGGAATGTGGCAACATCATACGGAGTCAGCCACTGTTGCAATCTTAGTTCCAGTCACTCAGCGCAAGCTTGTGTAGCGTGCTTGGCCAAGCTGGGCGCTGACAGGTTACGATTACAGGGATGCAGCCAATGGTGGCACCGTCCCCGATCCACCGCCGCTGTTGTTCGGCAGCTTCGCTGATACGGATCCGGATGCTGGCGAGGCGTCCTCGGCCTCGAACATTGTCTCAGAACTTGGCAAGTCGCTTCGAGTGCGATGCGAGTGCCTCAACAGGTCGGAGGCACCTTGACATGGACGGTCGATGGAACGTACAATTATGGAACTTATGACTTTACAATGTTGCCTTTTGTCTGCACTGTATCTCTTGCTTTCATGGCTCACAGACCTGCAGCTCTGCTTGCCGTCAAGCTTGCTGCGCTCAAAGGTCAGACTACGCGATCTATTTGGCGCTGGATACCGGCGGCACCGGTGGTTTCGAACTTGCGACAGTACAACCTGGATCGCTTAGCTTCTTGACGTTTTCTGATCTGCCCGTTCGTGCACACCGGATGTTCGTTTCTGGTGAAGTAGCTCTAAGGGCAGTGCAGTGCCTTGTGAATAGATCATGCATCCGATCAGCAGGTTACACTATTCCAGACAACACGGATCAGCAAACGGCGACATGTCTCCTGCGGTTGGCTTAGCTTTCTTGCCTTGCTTATAATCGCCACTGCAAGAAGGTCTTGCAATCGCTCAAATGAAGGGTTGTTCACAGTACATGAACATGCACATGCTGTCTGCGTAGATGTAAGTCTGTCAAGTCTCTAAGGATGTATGGACAGAACAGGCTCGGTCTCTCTGCAACGCCGTCGTTTTCCCACTGCTTTGAAGCCGCCTCCGGGAGCTTCACCAGTACGACGGTGCCTCGGAGAAAAGAGCAAAAGCAAAAGCGGAGTTTGAGCGGTGGAAGACTTCGCTTTTGACTTCGAATCCTTAAACACCCCAGGAGCTTGAGCAGACTCCCTTCTCCGTGCTTTGGATGCCTGAACTTCCGAGGTAACTTCAGTGACGTCGACGACCAGCCTTACGGTCACCAACACCATCGACCCAACCCAGGACTGGTCCCTGCAAAACTCAGCTTCACTAGGTTAGTATACAGTAGATGAAGTAGAATACTTGGATCCACTTTGGTATGTGTATATATAAAATTATGTATGTATATATATATATATATATGAGCCCGATACCTTTAGGGACTATGCGCCTGGAATTTTTTATATGCACAACTAATATTAAGGTTCAACGTGACATCTGGATTTGAGCTTATTGAACAATATCATGCAGACAACTTTGTGCGTCCGTTAGAGTTTATCTCTGTTGTATGATAAATAAACGATAATAAGTCATGATGCAGCTCATGCAGATAAATGCAATGAGCAATATGTACATATAGTTCCGACATGCCATATGGATGTTGGCAACCTATCAAGCGGTTGCATACATGTGCATCATCATGCATGGTAGCATCTCCTATCTCGGCACGAGTGTGCAAGACACATGTTAGCGGAAGCACACTTGCGATGCTTTCCTACTAAAACAACTTCAATCTTTCAGTCCTAGCATACGTAGCTTTTTTTATGTCACACAATCGTATCTCCTATCTCGGCACGGGTGTGCAATACACACGTCAATGGAGATACATCTCCATTGCTTTCCTATTGAAACCGTTTCGTTGGTTCGGTCAGCGGATATTTGGTGCTGTCATACACGGTCGTATCTCCTACCTCGGCACGGGTGTGCAATACACATGTCAATGAGAATACATCTACGATGTGTTCCTCTTGAAACCACCCCTTCGCTGTTTCGGTCCACGGATACCTGGTGCTATCATATACGGCCGTATCTCGTATCTCAGCACGAGTGCTACCTCGTTCCTTCTACTACACACAGTTCCTTCTGCATACTAAGCATCTACTGGCTACCTAGTACCCTTCTGCTTGTAATAAGTACCGACCTACTGTCTACTGGGTATGTCCTACCCTTACTAGGTATCTAGCTACTACCTACTAGGTATGTACTTACTGCCTACTGCCTGCTAGGTTGGTAAAAATACCACCAAGTACCCACCTACTACTTACTGGGTAGTTGCTACCCCTGGGTACCTACCTACTGACACACAAAGTATTTACCTACTACCTAGTCAACACTACCTCCCTGCTACATACATACCTGCTAGTTACTAGGTATTTACTTACCAGCTACTTGTCCACTGTCTACTAAGTACCTTCCGAGGTACCAACAGGTAGGCACCTAGTGAGTAGCAGGTAGGTGCCTTGTAGTAAGTAAGTTACCTGGCAGAAGAAGGTACCTGGTAGGTAGTGAAAATCTACTAGGTAGTGAGTCAGTACTTAGTAGCTTTTTCAGCTTTCCACGCAGCGAAGAGTCTCCGCCTAGCGACGAGTTTTAGCAGGTCTCGGCAACCTGGTGCCATTGGCACTCAACCTTTTGTTGACTCCAACACTGGATTCACCACCGCTCCGCAGAGCCTTGACTAGCATGGTGAACGCACGTTGCCACACTGTCGCTGTGCTTCGCACGATGATAGAAAAGCACATAGCAGTCTCGGAGATGAGATTTCGGAGGAGCGGTGAACATTGAAGCCTGTTTGGCATCATCACAGTGCCAGAACTCATCTTGATGCCGTAAAGCAGTGGTGTAGTGGCCTGTGCGAGGCGACAATCCATGATGAATGATGTAAGCACCGAGGGTATACTCCGTTTCTGTCGTGACGAGCCTGTCTGCATACTCAAAGAGCGGCACTCGGATCTGGACATCAATGTGCACCTCCGTTCTCATTTTGAGGGTGTGGCCTTGTTTCTGTTGAAAGCGCATAAGATGTAGAGCGAACACCTCCGGTTTCTGCATAAAGCCCATGGTGCGATCCCTATCTCGCCTCCAGTTATCCAAAAGATTTTGCACGCTCAACCTGGCCATCAGTCCAGGTGGCGTCTGAGGTAAACTTAGCAGGATTGTCTGAGTACCCTGCCCCTCATCGATGCAGCATGCTCTCCCCCGAGCATCCAGGCATCGAGCATGCCAGATCCCCTGGAAGAGCGGCGCTTACAAGCGTGATAGTAGATAGCCGAGAAATTCTCCAACGTCATGTTGCCGATGCACTTCTGCCCAACCACTGACAAGTTCTCGCCAGCTTTGGACCTGAAGAAGGTTTACAGGATTCTCTGCTTGTGTCAAATCTCTGAAGAACCCGGCACCTGTACCCATAACCTGTGCAGTTTGTGCCATCGTCGTCATCATCCATTGAAGGGCCTGCACAACCGAGTTCATGTAGCACATATTGCCGTGATTGGAAAAACGGTGCCTTAGTAACGGAGCATCTCGTGGATATTCTGAGCAAGCGGAGCCCTGGCCAGTTTCTCCTTCCTGTAGCCCAGTCCAATCAGCTGGAAAACACAGCTCCCCTGCAACTCCACCATCAGGTCCCATACCTCCTCCGCATGCTTGTTCCGCACTGACAGATCCAGCTTGAACGTTTTCTTGCTCTCCATGGTTTCCGTCATGCGCTGTGTGCAATGGAAGCGATGTACCACATCGCGCCTGATGTGATCCACGAAGTGCTGAAGCTTGTTCGACATCTCCGTGTCTGGAACCGGTGGCCGGCTTTGGTCGTGTTCGAGGGCTTTGAGTTTGGGGTTCCAAACTTGGTATCTCCAACCCCCTGTCTCCCGCCATCCCATATCCGTCGCCCTTTTCAACGAGTCTGGGGTGTTCAGGACCTTCTGGTGTCGGTCTCGCAGCTCCCGGAACATAGCTTGGGCCATCACTTGCTTCAGGGGGACATGAGCCAGACCCCATGTCGGTTCCGCCTGCTGTCGTTTCTTGAACTCCACTGCCGTACGATATAGCTGGCCTAGGATGGAGTCCCCTCCCGAGCTGAACCAGAGGACCATTGAAGTGTCCTGCTGCAGTAGCTTGAGTTCTTCCTCCTGTTTCAGGGCCAACTTGGCAAGGGAGTAGACCAGTGGGTCCCGGCCGTGGTTGGAGTGGTGGTGGTGCTCTCCCCACTGATTCGGATGCTGTCCGTACTGGTACCGCCCTCGCCCCCAATGCTCGGAGGATGAGCCCGCCTCCCTGCGTCGTTTTGGGTGATTTGCGTCCGTCTCCTTCTCGCGCTCCATGGTCATTGAGCCCCGGACCGCTCCGAAGAAGTTGTCCATCTCCAGGTCGTCGGTCCCGTTCCAGCACAAAGCACCGCGCATTGCCAAGCCGTAGTGCACTTTAGAATGTGCGCTTTCCAGTCCTTGTGAGTCTCCCCACAGTAGTGGCACCGGGCACAAGCTGTAGCACTCAGTTCGACTATCCGCTGTAGTTTGGTCTGTAATGCTGGAAAGATCTCGGGGTGCGTGTTCCTATAGTGGAGCTTCATGACTCGATGCGAGGCTACCCACTGTCCGCAAATTCCGCAGTGCTGATGTAGTTGTTGCAGGATTTGTGGTTGTTGTATGAAGTGTCGTAGTCCCTGAGCAGCGGTCTGTTGAACCAGGAGCTGTTGGGAGAGAGGCTTATCGGAATTGTCACATTCCTCTTCATGCTCAATCTCAGCAGAAACGTCCTTTTCCACCCTCTCCAACTCGTGAACAGGTTTGACACAGATAGCTTCCTCCTCGCCGCACTTGGTGGTAGTAACCATCATGTGGGGACAGGCTAAGGTGTTGATGTGATGTTCAAGAGTTTGCCATCTCGAGAATTTCCGTTCGCAGAGTTTACAAGCAGGAAGACCCTGTATGGCATGACGGGCCCTATCGAAAATGCGCAATGGCTTGTGCTTCCATCCATGTGCACGTTGAGCATGTACTTTAAGCGCCGCAGCCGTAGTGAAGAAGGAATCGCATTCCGGACAAGCCCACTGCTCACCCTCCGAGTCATCGTCCGCCGCTGGGTCCTGCTTCTTTAGCACCTCATAGCATTCCGTGATACATGCGTGCTAATCCTTGGAGAGCATCCAGTCTTCTCCCGCGAGAGTGAGTTCCCGACCATGAGCCCTTTGGAGCTGCTCCAGCATAGTTTCAATTCCATGTTGATCGAAGACTTCCTGATTTGTTCGTCCCGTCACATGTCTTGGGTCTGCCACCACAGCCCTGATATGTCTTGAGGCTGTCTGCTGGATTTCGCTCAATAATTTGGGGCTCAGGCAGAAACTGTGGAGCCCGTACAGGAGGGTCGTCTGCACGCATGCTCGCCATACTTGCAGCCTGTAGCGAACACTCAGCTTTTTGGTATGCAGTATCGAGGCAAGTGCCCATCGTCTCTGGTTCGCCTTCTGGATGCGGTGTCTGGTTGACAGGGCCTCAAAACGATCATAAGAAATCACCAGTCCCAAGTACTCGGCTTGTGTGACCAGGGGCAGCCACCTGGTAGGATCCTTGGGCTGTAGCAGGAGCCGTTTGCCTTCAGCGCCTGAGCGGACATAGTGTGCCTGCACTTTCGCCTTCTGAGGTCCCGTAGTCATGAGCAGGGCCTGGGTTTTCTTTGTGTTGACAATCATCCCGAAGCGCTCAAAGACTGTGAGAATCCACCTCAACTCCGTCACAGACTGTTCGAAGCCCTGGAACGTGTCAAAGCTCCATCGTAAGTGTGAGTCGTCCGCGTAGAGCACTGCGTGAGAGGATGTCCATTCTTCATGAAGTCTTTTGTCGATCGCCTGACAGAGTAATGCCGTAAAGACACTCCATAATACGGGTGACGCAGGGCATCCCTGCCTCAAACCCCAATTGGGCCTGACTTCTTTGGAACCCCCTCGATGATGAGAAACGTAGACGACCTGTCGGAGCCATTGGAGGATGATTTCACATGTAGAGGTCTCTACTCCTGCCATACACAGTGCATCTCGCACGTGTCCCCATCCCACCATGTCGAAAGCAGCCGTGAGGTCGAGGCTAACTTGTAGTCCTCCGAAGAAGCGGTTGCTGATAGCCCCCTGATGCTTGTCGTGGAGATTGAGGCGGACACTTGCACAACCCCGTCGAACTTGGTCGCAGTGGGAGAAGACAGCCGCCAGGGCAGTGACTGTGCTCCGACCTGGGATGTATGCTGTTTGCGGCCACTTGGCAACAATCGTGGCAATCTGTGCCTTGGCTCCAGCAATCACCGTTTTCATCAGAGCCTTGCCCACCGGGTGTTGCAGGCCGATCGGACGCCAGTCTAGCGGCGTGCTAGCATTCGGCTTACCCTTAGGGAGTAGAGCTACATCAGCCTTGGCCCAGTCTTGATGCACGTGGATGCTTGGTCGACTCCAGTCCAGGTTTACCTTCTCCACCAGTGGTTCAACGATTTGGTCTACACATGCTCGCCACACAACAGCCGGCACTGCATCAGGTGGTACTGCCTTGCGAATAGGTATGTGGTGCATTTCATGCCGAACCTGCTCCATGTCGAGGACAAAATTCGTAGATTGCCTTGGCATATCCGGAGGAGGTTGTGCATGTTTGGCAGCATATCTCTCACCAAACGCCTCGGCAATCCAATCCAGCTCCGCAGACGGAGCCATGATGATGCCGTTTTTGTAGAGCTGAACCTTCTTGAACTTGGTGCGTGGAGCTAGTCTTTTAACCACTTGCCACATGGCATGAGAGCTGCCTTTTTCAGCTGCTTCTTGAGCTTGCTGGAGTAAGTCACCCCTCCGAGCCTTAGTTCGTTGTTTGCATCGAGTTTTGTGGATCAAGTGCGCTTTCGAGAACCGGGCCCACAAACGCCAAGCATGGAAGATGCCCTGCGCAGTGAATTTTTGCTGTCTCATTTGTCTATGAAGCTGCCACATGTGCCTCGCACTGTTCGCCAGCTCCTCGGGCTGAGTAGGTGCCGTGGTGACCTTCGGTGGTCTGCGGTAATGAGTGATTGCGGCCTGCAAGACGACATGTTCTATTTCTCGATGTCCGGCGCTGCCTTGTCCTGGATTTCTTGACGAAAAAGTTGTAGTGCCTCAGGTGCTTCCCGTTGCTGAAGATCTTGAATGAGCTGCGCAGTATCGATGTGGGCCGTTGGCTTCGGTGCTTGCGCGTGCCAAGTATGCGACGGCATCGGGATTTCCGCCACAACCGGGTAGTGCCTCGCACCATCTCTCCATGCAGCCACCGGGAAGTCAAGTTTTGTGCCAGCCTTCTTCGCCGCGTACGTGGCTGTTGATTGCCTGGTGATGACATTAGGTTCCCAAAGGTGAAGGTAGCTTTTTGGGACCCTGGCGGGGCATGCCACGTGTTCAATACACATAATGACATGGCTTCACAGATGTGCATAAAGTCCATGTGGTCAGCCTTGTGGTAGGTCCCGACGGGTAGGAGTTTGTCACCGCTGACCTTCGGCATTTGAACACATGTCGTGTTCATATCTCCTGCCATGGCCAGAATGTTCCGACGTGGTAGGCCTGCCAGACATCTTTGTAGTCGATGTAGTAGGGCTTGCCTTTTGTCAAGAGTGTCCCTTTTCTCATTCGCAACATGTTGGTAGATGTTCACAAGGTCTATGGGGGCCCGACTTCTGTTGATCCGCATGTGTAGTATTCTACCTGCGTGCACGGCAAGATACTGAACATCATCTCTCCGGGCGATCCTGGTGGAAACCATAGTGAGCACTCCGCCTGCCTTGTCTCCCTTGACACCCGCTGAGTGGATGTAGTGGAACTCGCGGTTGCTCCAGTTGCTGTCTTCAGACCATTTGGTCTCTTGGATGTAAATGACGTCGAAGTTGGAGTCTCTAGCAAACTTTCCAATTCCTGAAAGACTTGCTTGGTTAAGCCCCCGGCGTTCCAGGTCAGCACCCTGAGCTTCTGGCCCGTCTCGATGGGTGGTGTTTTGCATCTGGGTACATAGACAGGTGTGATCTTGGTGGGCTTAAACCAGGATTGCTCCCTCCAACTGCCTCGGTAGATCGCTCCTCCTTGTCGAACCGCTCGAGCGTACGCTCGCCTGTAGGTGCGCTTTGTGATTCGTGCCATGTTGGAAATCTTGGTTGATAAAGTAGGCATGCTGGCCTCTCGTATTCCACTTTGCTTTGCCCCCGTAGAGGCTCCAGACAGCACTGTGGACTTACTGTCAACCCTCGCATCTGTGTTCACAGAAATGGTGGATCTGGCACATGCTAAAAGAATCACCAGCATAAACTTGGTGTGATAGCAGCATGGCCTGTGAACACCGCCGGACTTGGGACCGGCGCAGCTGAGAACTTGTCCCGATCGAAGGGTAGGTCTAGTACCTGATCGATTGGTCGAGCGCTGTTTGACTTTGTCTGTCAACCATAGGCAGGAGATCATGAGGTAGCAGACCGCCTGTTGGACGGCGAGGATCATGATGTATAGTTGGTACCGCCTGCCAATGATGCTGTATACTGTCTTTTGTGGGATAATGAAGCAACTGCCCTGTAAGTCACCCGCCGGCGGCTCAGAGAAGAACTTCTTGAGGTACCTGTGCAAATGGTCAATGTAGGTCAGCTTAGTCGTCCCAATGCATATGTCTCGATGCAGGTTCCCTTTCGCAAGCAGTAGTCTTCTTTTGTCCGACAGGTCAGCATGTTGCCCCGCTTGGCCATTCATCTCCCGGCATCGCCCAGGGCTTTTGGCCGTCTCAACCGGATTGGCACTGCTACCGCTACTCAGTCTATTCAGAGCGGCGCTGCCTAAGTGAGGTTGCTCGGGGGGGTACACTCAATGAGAAAACTTTGCTCAACAAAGTGACTTTGGATCAAATGAGGTCCGTGCTTGCGGTTTGCCTGCTGCGGTGCCTCGCTGGAGGATGCCTGCCCTGTCGCCTGGCGCTTGCGCCTCCACGGCGCATTGACCACCGCCTTCGAGGTTGGCCGCAATGGTGGGGTGTTCGGCGAGACGGCAATGGCCTGCCTGACTCCACTGGATGCCATACTGGAGGGAGCCCCCGCCGTGTCCGGAACCTTGTCATCATCATCATCGTCCTTGTCCGTCCCGGCAGCCATGTGGGTCTGGGGCACGTTTGACCCGATCTGGGTGGTCTCCTCGTTCGTCATCTTGCTTCGGCCCTCCTTTTTCATCTTCTTGATGATCGCCCTGGCCTGTCGGCCTGCTGAGGTGGACTCCTTGGCAAGCCTGTGTAGCTTCTCGAGGTTCGTTTCCTCATCCAGCTCGTCCGGCTCCTCTTCGGTGACATTCGACACCAGGAGCTTGGGGTGCAGCTTGAAGTCCCCCCTCAAAGGCTCAATCCGAACCAACATTTCCCCCATTGACTTGTAGTCAAAAGGCACAAGCACCAGCATCTCATTCACTGTTGTGCCTTCCTCCGCGAAAGCCTGGGTCAGGGCTCCTGCCGCTTTCAGTGCAATGCCCTGCACTGTCTGAACACATTGGGGTGGCGGCGGTCCCCTCGGTTCCGGCGTTCCACCCGGAGTGGTGGGCATTGGAGCTGCCATGTCTGCCGGGGGCCCTTCCACTTCATCGATATCCGCGGACTCCACGTCCCAGTTCTCCACCGCCTCTGTGTCCGTAAGGATCCCGGGCTCGCCGTCGTTCTCCGCCGTGGGTCCGCGGTGGATTCCATGATCGGCCCCTGACATGCTTCGCGACCTGTCGGTGTCCCTTCCGCAACGATTGGCACTCCTTCGAGCCGAATCTTCGAAGCATCTCCGCAGTAGCTCAGATGTGCATGTTCGCATGCAGTCTCGGACAAACGCTGCCGGCTGACTTCCATGCTTGCAGAACATGTGTGACAGAACTCGCGAGGGGCACATGTAGTATGCCCTGGCTCCACAGAAGAGGTCCCAGCAGAACCTGTAGGCAGATCGCACCCTGGTCTTGCTAGACTTACGCAACCTTCGGCGCCTTGTCCTCGCTCTCGGGAAGCGGAAACGCCATCTGCGACCAACACGGCCAGGGCAGAGCCGTTCCTTGAAAGGCCTATAGCTGCTATAGCTGGGAGCTTTAGTCCATACTATGGAGGTCCAGTAGTCTCGGGGTCGGTGGTTCACCTGTCGGCCAGAAACAGTGTAGCCAGCTGGGAAAATGCAGTCGTACCCATTTATAGAGTTCACGCTCGTTCGGGGGGAAGGGCGATTGCCTAGCAGCTTGCAACGTTCGCCCTGGGTGTGAGGCGTCTGTCCACACCAGGTCCCAGTTGTTAAAGAAGCTGATATTGCTGATGTAGCCTCCTCGATCCCTTGCAGTCTGCAGCATAAGCTGTCCCAGCGCAACATTGAATTGCGCCCTTTGTCTCGGCCTGGCAAACAGCTCCCGGGCATAGGTGGCATCCCAGTCCACCGTAATCTTGTTATGATTCGGTATCCAGTCGTCTGAGCAGTCGGCTTCAGTGGATGAAACACATCCGTCTCCAAGCCACTTCGCCATAGGGTAAGCAGCAGAAGTTTGAGCATCGAGCACAAACTCCGTTTTCGAGATGCCAGGTCGGAAATTCTTGGTTTTTCCTGGATCGCGACCTTTATATCTCCAGTGCTGCCTCTCAATGGCTCACGCGCGCACAATCTATCTTCGATCGGTTGGCCTTCAGCCGAGATGCTTAGTACTTAGTAGCTAGCAGGATGGGTAGTACCTAGTAGGTAGTAGTTAGGTACCTTGTGGGTAATAGCCAGGGACCTAGTAGGCAGTTGGAAGGTACCGTGTAGGTAAGTGCGTACATCGTTGGAAGAAGGATGCAGGCACTGTACACCTTGTGGTACCTAGTAGGCAGTAGGTAGGTACCAAGTAGGTAGTAAGTAAGTGTGTAATAGGTAGTACGTAGTCGTTTCCAAGTAGGTAGGTAGGTAGGTCGTACGATCATTCGGCTCACCAGACCCATGCGATTGATACGGCCACAGGTGGAGGACTTAATTCGGCTTTCGTGACAAAACCAGATCTGCACCAACAGGACTGTGGGAAGCATCTCTCTCCCTCTTTGCATTCTCTCAGTGGAGTTGTCGGTCATGTGTAACTGCATGCATGTTGCCGTGAGATCAGGTGAAGGGTAAGTACGGTAAGAGTAGCAGCCATGAAACGGACCGCTCATATGGAGCGATGAAAGCCATTGTTCGTCCCAAAGTGATGTAGTCGAGGCCTACACGCAGTCCGAACGCAACACGAAAGTTCCAACATGGATCGAACCTCCATGGGAACTCACTCCGCCAGAGTTCCGCGGGATCGAGCGCCCCTGCGTCAGGCTCTGGAAATCCCTCTATGGGCATCCAGAACCTGGATTCCGTGGGCATGAAAGGTTCAAGCAGGTGATGAATTTGATGGGAGGTTAACATTCTGAACTGTTCCAGTCGTCGTTCTGGTTCCCTAGGCCCTAGACCAGCTTCGACGCTGTACGTGGACGATATAGTTCTAAGTGGCTCCCGGGACACTCAGCCTGCTTTCTGGGAGGAGCTTCAGAGACACCTAGATATTGAACCGGCAGGTGAAGTAGACAGGGTGTTAGGACGAAAGCATGTCTACCAAAGGCAACACAGAGACACGACATGTTTGACTACTGCCGAAATGCATGTGGCTTGTATGAGTAATTAGTTGTCTGGCCGGAAGTTCAAAGAGGCGGCAACGCCCTTTCTAGCTGAAAGATGTCTGCTTACAAGCGACTGGGAAACAAGGGGACAACCTGCCAACTCCGCCAGTCGAGTGCTGATGAAGAGTCTTTGGCTGACTTTACCCGACGAGTCACTTGTTGGAGCGCTGCGGATGACAAGCGCCCCTATCGTCTGATGTGCTACCTACACTCAACACCGGAGTGCTCGATCACCCGCACAATGGGCGACGACGAACCAGGATGTTTGAAGGTATTCCTGTACACGGATGCCGACCATGCTTCCGACGTTGAACACGCTCACAGTACGTCCGGAATGCTTCTCTGCCTTGAAGGTGACCACACCTTTTGGCCACTGTGTTGGGCGAGCAAAAGCAATCCGCGACTAGCAGATCCACCACAGAGGCAGAAACGATTTCTTGGAGCTTTGGAGTCTTTGGAGAAGCACTACCCATGCAAGAGTTCATGGAAAGGTCCTAGGCCGTGAGGTGACACTTCAATGTCACCAGGACAGTTCGGCCGTGATTCAAAAAATCCATGCACGCACAGCCCGAAACTGAGGCACGCCAGCAAGACTCACAGGATTGATGTTTTCATCCCTGTATGCAGTCTTCCAGGACCCATATGTGCGCTTGTCGTACATAAACACTGGAAAACAATGTGCCGATATCTTTACGAAGGCCTTGGTTCCAAGCAAGTTTCCTGCAGCCCTCCAGTTACTCCAATGGAGTGACCGGTTGTTTTGCTTTCTTCACTTGGCGAGGCAGCAGTGCTGTCCAAGTCTGTGCATGCACGCAGTCCGGCGTAAATAGGCACCGCCTCTCAGAAAGCGGAAACGCTAGAGAGATTCCTGTGCAAATGAATTCTGCACGTGAGAAGGGGCAGTCGGAATGATACGGTCAAATCTGTGAATAGACGGTAGGTAATGCACTTGGCGAGGCAGGGCCGTTGCAGTCAACCTCACTTGGCATAACTCAGGAGGGATTTGCAGACATGTTTGGAAGCTTTAAAGCGACGTACTTCAATCATTTAGCTCAAGACGAAAAGAGGCCCTTGCTTACTTCATAGGCCTTTGAAGCCATAAGCATCTATAATGAAAATAAGTGGAATGGCCTTCTTCCTAAGTGGCTAAGGCAGGATTCACCGGATTCTGAATACTCGAAAAATCGGAGCAACAGAAGTAAAATCGGCCGGTTGTTTAATCATTTTAAGTATTTCCGCTCCAAAATAATTGAAATAGTAGAAATAAGTAGAATGAGCTTATTTCAATTATTTCGAACATTTCGATTGTTTCGATTATTAAAAACAGTGGGGATTTTAAAACAGTGGGGCTCCTGGTTCCATAGCTTGCCGATTTTAATTTTCAATTATTTCTATTCTTTCCGGGCCCAAATAAGTGAAATGATCGAAATAGTTTAGATCGGCGGTTTTTAAGTGTTTTAAATATTTGGGTCCGGAAAGAATAGAAATAGTGGAAATAACTCTAAGATCGGTTTCTTTTCATTATTTCAATTATTTCGATTATTCAATATAGTGGGGATCCTTGTTCCATAGCTTGAGGGAAAGCAGATTTTAATTTTCAATGATTTCTGCTCTTTCCGGGCCCAAATAAATGAAATAATCGAAATAATCAAAATCGGTCACTTTTAATCATTTTAATTATTTGGGTCCGGAAAGAATAGAAATAATTGAAAGAATTAAAATCAGGTTGTTTTGTTTATTTTAGTTATTGTCGTTACCAAGCATTTAATAATTAAGATAATTAGAATAAGCTGCGTTTAATTATTTTCATTAGGCTAGTTATTTTAGCTAGTCCACTGTATAAGCAGAGAAAGGAATCGTTAAATAGACCCTAGAGGTCTCTCTCTCATATTTGTGTATATATATATACATGTATATTTATATACATATATATATATACATATATAAAATTACATGCACTTTCGCGATGGCAGGCGATCATCACCAATGTCGGCTTCACGGACACGAGTGGGTCGGGCTATTGGATTGATGGTACGGTGACTTGGGTTGCTCCTAACAATCCGGCCTTCGAGTACTTCCGCATTGTCATGGTGCCGGCCTGAGTAATTATCTCGCCGGGAGCAGCTGTGTATCATTGGCTCGGAAAGCCGGCTGACTACTCGTTTACGCCACCCGAGTCCGCGACCAGCACGGGGACAGATGGTGCTGTCATGGTTGTGCCTTTGATGTAAGGTGACATGTTTCTGATGCCGTGTGTAGATGTAGCGAGCAGTCGAGCTTTGCCTAAGGACAATATAAACAGCGCGCTGAGATCATATGAGATTGTCAACTCAGATGCCAGAGGTATCGTGCGCGGGACCGCAGAATTGCATAGTTTGAGTCACAGTTTGTACAGGAGCCTCACTTTTTGTCGTTTCGTTGTCCGCAGGACCAACACTGGAGGTATTTGGGCCAACTACATCGTGGTGCAAGCTTATCGATTCTTGGCATGGGTTTAGCTCTGCATGCGGATGCATGTACTACATAAGTTCTGTCCCTGTCTGAGGCAGTGGCGTTGCTTGGCCTAAAAGCCGGTGCGTGTTAGAGTCAAGGATTCATAGATTTGCTAATGCCTCCCAGGCCTTTTCGCCGGCGAATGAGGCTCCGGGACAGTCCAGAGATCTGATCCGTGGCTTCGGGCGAGAGCCTGAGGCTGGATCTCTGATGTTAACTGACATCTCCAACGCCGATGCCGCCAATGCAGCAGTGGGTAGTTCCGACCTCAGCGCTACCAAGCTGCTGCATATACTTGTGTACTCAAATGAAAAACAATCCTGAGAGAAAGAGGCAGGGCTGTTTGTGCACATTGCCGTTGATCCCTCGTTGCTATTGGTCCTTCTCAGCCACATCGCTAAATTCACGAGCAAGACAGACAGTCTACAGGGAATAACACGAACTGCGCCTGCATGGAATAGAACCCTGCCTGCAAGCGGTTGTAACAGTTGAAACATCCCCATTCCGCGGAACCGCGAACTGCGCGCATTCTACAAGCTCAAGAGAAGCATAGATGTAACGAGTTGAATATTCGCCGAGACGGAGACCAAACGGGGGGACGCCCGTGTGCAAGAGTGACATATCAGCTCATGACAGAACGTCAGCAATTTCCGCAGCGAAAGGCAGCCAAGTGCATACGAGTGTCCTCCAGAGTTCTTGCTGGAGAGAACTGACCGTGACAAGTCTTAACACGTGTGCCTGAAGAAGTCTTACTTCGTAGAAACGTGGTGCGACTTTTCGTTTCAGTGCCGTGACGCCTTTCCAAGTTTCAGCATGTGAGTGATTGCTGGATTGCTTCAGAGTTTGACAATGCATCGAACGTGTCTTGCAGAGAGTGCGGGGCTTTCCGCCGAAAGAGTTCCCGCTCGTGCTTGCGCCAGCTTTCGGCGGAGATTGGGCCGGACTTGCCCTCCTGGATTCCGTTGCCTTCACAGCTACTGAGTTGCATCTGCGAGAGAGACATGACACGCATGAGATGATATGACTGATATGAGATGCATAAGATCATCTGCGAAGCTTTCGTAAAAGCCGTCTGCAAAGCCCAGGACAGCAATCCCGCTGAGAATCTCCTCACGGGCACTGTCACGTGGACCTTCGGCGCAACAACGGACCTGCTTTGCAATGTTCGACGGAAGAAGCAGTACATGGAGGTGTCAGACGCGATGCCTGATGCTTCACAGGACTACGGCTTTGCCTCAGACTGGCGGGTTTACATAGCAGATGACACGCAAGGTGACCCTCGGTGTGGCGCGTTTCCATGAAAGGTGCGATTCTATGAGCAGGGGCGATGGCCATCGGGGATAGCAAACCCGATCCACAGGAACTGTGCGCTCTTTTTCAGCGTACATCTGCCTGAAAAGCAGTTTCCGATCCGAGTTTCTCAAGCGCTGCCCGGTTTGTGATCGAAAACCCGAACGAGCCGACACTCGGACTCGGAAGATTGTACACTGCACTTGGCCCGCTGAAGTCTGAACTGCCGAGCTGCCCATGATTTCCGACCATGTACGTCTATCCTTTGCTTCAAGCACAGCAAACTTATGTTCCTGCCTGAAGCATCTCAATCTTAATGACGGTGCACCCTGCCGTCAATCCGAGCATCAAACATCGTGATGTGTTAGATTCCATTGGCTGCTCCCGCAGTCGGCCCAGTAGAGGAAATTCCGGGGAAGAGCTTTGGGACACTCTGGAGATACTTGGGGTGGTTAGGGCAAGGGCCAGCGCAATCACTGAAGTGTGAGCTTGCAATCACCTTCAGGTACGAACAGGCAGCTCCTCGGGACGGTAACGAAGGACCTGACGCAGGTGGGGGCAGCTTTGCAGATGGCAGGGCTGCGTTGCTTGGGACTCGTGGACCACTCGGCGTTGTTTGGCAGCTCTCGATCACGGACGAAACTTGTGACCCCACTCACGTCTATGCCGCTTGGCAATGCTGGGAGTATGTTCATGGCAAACATTTTTTTTCGGCGCTCGCGTAGCAAGAGACGGAAAGGTCTTGGTCTATGCCAACAACGAGCATGGAGAGTCACCCAATGCCGTGGCATACTTGGAGAGAAAATGGTGTAAAGTTGCACTGCTGGCCTTGGCCTTTGTATGAATTGCACGCCAAGTCCTCGGTGTCCTTCTGGGATGATGGTCGCCCGACCTCCACGACTGTCACAGTCACGTCCACCACCATAGATTGGCCCGGCTGCAAGGCTTGGCCTTGAGTGGTGGCAACAGACGGCACAGAGCACAGACTGCAGTGTCGCATTGATATCATTGCCTCAGTCAGTGGCCTTTACCGACACGGACACGGACGCAAACCAGCTTGGAGGCCGGGATTTGTAAGTATCGATTCTCTTGGGCGTAGAATATGGCTCCTCTTGGGTATGTTGCGTTTGTCGTGTGCGTTGTGGAAAGGAGTCATCAATTGGGTCCTTCCGGATGATGCGAGTGTGTTTAGTCACTGGACGGCCCGGGCAGCCCGGTGAGTGCCGATTGATGCTTTGCTTGCTTGTCTGCTTTTTGCAAGCTTGTTTCATGCCGACAAACTGAGGTTTACATGGCGACCACTGCAGACAACAGCAATGGCCAAGCCTTGCAAGACAGCGTTGAGGGCTTCAACATCCCAGCCCCGACCTCGCAGACCTCGCAGATGGCTTGGGCTCTGTGTCACACTCCGAGTGCCTACTGAGGTGGGTCAAACAAGCCTCACCTTGCAGACCAACCAAGTGAGGCTCGGGGCTTGGGGGTAGGCCGCGTAGGCCGCAGGCCTCACCGGCGGCAGTGTTGGAACCTTGGTGTTGAGCACGCGGAACCCTGCGCTTCCTCCTTCTGACGGGTCGTCGGTCAAGGCCCCGAGACTGCGCACACAGCCGTGAGCATCCTCGGAATCAACGTATACGTGATGGTTGCAATGGGGAGCTAAACCTCAGAGCCGCAGAGCCGCAGAGCTGTGAGGAAGAATTGAGGCGGCCTTTTGTCGCCTTAGGCTCTGCCTTCAGCTCCTGTGGGTGGTCGCGAGGTGTAGGGCACCAGCTGAAGTCCATTTTGAATAGTTGAACAAATGGGTCTTTGGAGTTTAGAAGCTCCAGTGGCAAGGCCTGAACTTTTTGAGGGCTCAGAGCCCAGCTTGTCCCACCCTTTGCAAAGATTCCTTCGAGTGCTGTCAGTCCGTAAGAGTTGTGGTGATAGCCGGTGGAGTCTAGGCCGAAAACAGGCAAGGACCCAAGGCATTGAAAGAAGAACGGACCGGTTACAGTTCGCGCAGAGAGTGTCTTTGAGCCAGCGCACGGACACGGCCCGAGGGGGCAAGGGCTTGCACGTCGTGCTGGCGATCAGCTGTGAAGAGACACAGAACAGTAATCAGCAAAAACAAGTAGTAACTAAGTAGTAGTAACACTACCAGGAAGAAAGCGGGAGGGAGCGAGGGAGGGAGGGAGCGAGAGAGAGAGGTCCAGATCCGATGTCCTACGCTTTATGGCTCTAGCCTTTGGATGCACTATGCTCGTTTCTCACTCCCCGAAGCCCAATTAAAAGTATTGGGTGGGCTTTGAAGCCCGAGGACTTTGATCGGTCCCCAAGCCCGAGAAGGAGAGAGAGAGAGAGGTCCAGAGCCCTGAGTTTTGTAAAGCAGAGCCCCAGGGGGAAAGTCCCACTGGGGAGTCAAAGGACAACCCGCGAACTGCGGGTGTGCGTCGCGCACGAGGGTCGGGGCCCGGACGCTGCCCTTGCCCGCAAGCCCGGTAGAGAGAGAGAGAGGTCCAGAGTTTTTGTTCCTTCAAAAGCAAGTGCCTGGTGAACCTGAGTCAGTGCTTCGATGCCAAACGTCCATGTTTTGCTTATTCACGTGTTGGTGAAGTCGGAGCTTTTCCTGTTGAAGCACGTGCACTTGTCGAGTTAATCGGAGCATTCCCAAATCACCCGAATATGGGCTTGAAATCGTCGTCACTGCCTCATCCCCACTTGTAGTCGGGTTGTCGCTATGTGTCTCAGGGGCATGCCGAGGATTTGTCTCACTCGCGAGGTGAGCTGCGATATAGAGCCCAGTCAGGCTGATCGAGGGGATGTCTCAGTACCATGGCCTGGCCCACCGCCAACATGCAGTTTCGGGGCTCATCAGGTCAGGTTCCCGGCTGTATTGTCGGGGCAGTTGAACCTTTGCTAAACTCAATGAGTGGCCGAGCATTTTCGTAAGGTCTGAGCGTCGCACGCGAACAAACAAGAACCCGACCGAAGCCGCACAGACCGCCACCAAAAGAGCATGCCTCCACACTTGGGCTCGCCCCCCTAGGCCCTGTGAAAGAGAGAGAGTGAGAGAGGTGGGCTGGGGGTATAGTCCTAATGGTTTGGGAGTTGAAAGCCGGTGCGTGTGTCCTGGCAGATTTCGCGATGTCGCTCAGAACGTTGAAGTCCCGCAGTTTGCGGAAACGCGAGGGCTTCGCGACTGCACGGTCCTCTGTCTGCGCTGAAGACAAAAAGAGGAAGGGCGGGAGAGCGTCCTCAGGCCCTTCAATGTACCTCCCTCAGTGTCCACAGGATGTTTGCATACCTCCACAAGCTGTGCATCTGTAAAACACCCCCACGTTTTCCGCCGCTCCTCACGCACCTCCAACAAGATGACCACATGCAGCAAGAACTTTCGTCGCCCCCCGACGTCTCAAGGGAAATTTTGTACTACTGCTGTGGTAATGTCGGTTTTGCCGTCATGATCATGGCTTGGGGTGATAGCTTTCGCGTGGACTGCTGCTGCCTTGACTGGTTTTTCTGCGCCATGAGGATGTAGAGGGTGGCCTAGTAACCTAACATGGTTGGGGTAAGGCCAAGTGTTCATACGGGACAGCTGGCCGTGTGACAGTGTGGTCAGACGGTGTGACGGAATACTTACCGAAAACACGTCCGCAGCGCAGGGTTCGGGGATGACCCGGGCCAAGATGCCCATAGAACGGACCCCAGAGCTGCACACGCTGTACAGCCAATCTCCCGGGCAGCAAAACTGTGCACTCCGTCGGGGGGGGGTCGGCGAGGACTTTCCGCTCCTCCATTCTAGTGAGAGAGAGAGAGAGAGAGAGAGAGAGAGAGATCTGCCATGTTATATCCTGTTGTTGTTGGGAACCAGAGTCGGGGGCTCTGCACATGGACCCAGCCTACACCAACTCCTGCAGAGCGAGGCCCGTCTGGTCACGAAGTGCTGCAAGCTGTAGCCTAGGCACTGTAAATAAGTTTGGCATGCATAGTGTACTACAGTGGCTTTGTCACCTGGACCAGGGGTGAGCTGTCGTGCACAGGGGGTCACCACCTGCACATACAGCAAAGAGTGCAGGTCAGGCGAGTCGGGGTGAAAAACCATCCCGTAACTGACAGCATGTGGACACTCGGGGCGATACTTCAGTATTCGTATGTCTGCCGTACGTGGAGCTGTGTTCTGCGGAGTGCCACATGTTTGTAAGCTAGTCTTTCGCACTTAATACAGTGCATCCAGCCAACCAGGGCTGCCCTCAGCGAGGGGCATGCCCCTCAAGCCTGGCGAAAGAAAGAGAGAGAGAGAGAGAGAGAGACAGAGTTTTTTTTGGGGATACTGCTCAGTCGGGGGGCGGCTAGAAAGTACAGCCGAGCTCCTCTTGACAAAGTCAAGGGGGGAAGGACCAAAATCCTGCGGACTTCAGGTGCGCGTTCGCGTGCGAGGAGGGTAGCGTCCGCTGCCTTCCTTCTACCTGGCAGAGAGAGAGAGAGAGAGAGAGAGAGAGAGAGAGAGAGAGAGAGAGAGAGAGAGAGAGAGAGAGAGAGGGGAGGGGGGGTGCACACCCCACTTCCCACACGCCCAGCAAGCAAGCAAGCAAGAGAGGGAGAGAGGGAGGTATGGACCACCATGGTTGCTTCTGGAGACTGGACTTTTGGGTTTGGCCCGTGTTCAGCAGGCAAACGACAGATGCTTCACCGGCCAATTTCATCGTCGTCCTGGGGTGCGCTTGCCCGACACGGGAAGTTACGCAATCCGTCCTGTGAAGCATCAGTTATTGACGTGCGTAAATCCATGATGTGTTCGTGGTCTCGACATGCCATGAGGTACCGAACTGATCTGGGGGCCAGCAACTCAGAACCCCACTCAGGCCAATATCGATGGGACTTCTGCTTGACATTCATGTTGCCCGCTGTGGTCCATTGAAGCTGGCAGTCGACACCCGCCCAGCTTTCCATTCTATGCATGTTGCGACCTCTGTCTCCGCCTGGCTTGTGAAATTCTGCGCGAAGCCAGGCCATGGCTGAGCACCATGACTGTCAGTGTGTGTGCGTGTGTGTGTGTGTGTGTGTGTGTGTGTGTGTGTGTGTGTGTGTGTGTGTGTGTGTGTGTGTGTTGGTGCGCGTGCGTGCGTGTGTGTGTGTGTGTCCGTGCATACGATCAATGTGTCTGAACCATCATAAGTTGTGCATGGAGCACACAATGGCGGAATTTGTCGTTATCCGCCCTGGCCCGGTGCCAGAAGCTGTGTGATGTGCACCAGAGGCCTACCAGAACCCTGCAGTCGGCTGCGTTGCAATCTTACTTCGAGTCATGTGAGGCACACCGAGCTGGCATCGCCTGCTTGCAATCCTAGGCAACAGCCCTCTACGACGACAGCGGCGCAGCGCCTGTTGTTGCTCCTTTCATCACAGACGCATGTCGGCAAGTTGCGCGGAAGCCATCGCACTCTGGGAATTTCGGAATGACCTGCATCGCCGCATGTCATATTCTCGCACGAGGCACTTAGCTTTCCCGACGAGGACCGGCCATGGGTTTGCAGCCCCTGCCCTGCATCGTTGCATGGGGTTTGTCTGGAAGGATCCTAGTTGGGAATATGCCAACGGCACCGTGTCGTGGACCCAAGACAGCTTGACAGCAGATCAAGCATCGGCTCTGAGCTTAGGAGCTCTTGCACCTGCCCGGCAAACCTGCGAACCTGACTTCGAAAGTCGCCTGAGCTGTGAGGTGTCTCACTACACGGTGTTTTTGGCGGAGGCAGGATCATTGATGCAAGCACTGAGCATACTGAGCATCTCCCTTTGCCGCAGTGAGCAAGCCTCATCTTTGCAAGAGATTCGTACGAGCTTGATGTGTTTTTTCCAGCCTCTGTCGAACTTTTGACCCCAGCCATTTGCAAATAGCTTCGAGGCCGCCACAGGCGTCTAAGAGGTGCGAGGCAAGGGCTTGGCTTCTTGCCATTGCTCCAGGATCTAAGCGGCACGAACCAGCTGCTGGTGAACACGGTCTCTCGCGACAGCTCTTCTGCATCGGTGGCCAGCACCATGATAGGCACAGACACGGCATCGGCCATGGCAAAGTTAAAGTGCAAGCGCTGCGAGCACCTGGACAGGCTACCGCAACCACGTGTTGGTTTACGCTTCGCAGCTTGGCGAATGTGATCGGGTGACGGACTCTCTTTAGAACATTCCGACACATCAGACCACCTCCCAGTGTTCCAGATCAGAGGCGGGAAATGGTTTAATTTTCCAGCAGCCCAGCACCCAGCAGAGACGGAACGACACAGTGCTGATGTGGTATTCAAATCGGTGCCGGGACGAGAAGTGGCCATTAAGCCAGCTGAAAGAATTTTTAGCGATTTTGGTGGGGAGTAAAGTATTCTCATTCTCGCTTGTGCACTTATGCAGCAGGTCCAACTTGTGCAATCTCTGTACAGCCGGGAAGACTTGGAACGTGACACTAACGTTCTAGGGACGAAGCCACAGAATAGAGAACCGGCGGGTGCAGAGCAACCCCAACGAAGTATTCAACACCGGAGTTGCCATATTATGAACGCGATAATCAGAGCTGTAAGCCGAAGAAGCTGGAAACCACAGCCTTAGGGTTGCACAGAACACCGTCGTTAGTGGGATGGAGGAAGTCAGACGATACAGGCTTCAAGAGAGACAGGACTGAATTATCAAACCCGAACGAGATGTGCGAATGTTACGCCGTTAAACTTCATGTGTGGGCGATTGCATTTCTTGCAGGAGTGAGTAGCTTAATGAAATAAGCATGAGACAGCCGCACGGAGGACAGCTCACGGCCAGCCAAGAATAAGCCATATCCTGAGCAGCTAGCCGAACCAAGTTAATGGGTATCGGTGTGGTCAACCCGAGAGAGTTCATGGCTGATTTAATTATTGTGCCAAATCCAGGAACAACTACGGGGACTCACCGACTTCGGTAGGCCGGATGCTTCAAAACGCCCGCCGCACAGGATGTAGTTTTTTGGCCTCATGCTTGCATATGTGCGCAGGCTTGGAGTATCAGGGCAAGAGCCCACTGACCACAAGTACGGCAACTGCAACATCCACCTTCACTGCCACGACGTCCTCCACCACATCACAGCTGCTCTTCCTCATTTGAGCAACATGTCTCAGGTTTCTCTTCGTTTGCTCAGGATGGGTTCAGGAGTGCTACTTGCTAATGGCTTCTGCGACTCGCAAGTGTCATGTCAGGAGATGTCTGCCAAAATGGCTCTGCCATTTAGGCTCGAGATTGTGGACCGTGGGTCCGTTGAAAGAAAATCTATCGTTCTTTTCCCTGCTCTCTTTGTACACCCTGCCATGTCGGCTTCATCGGCGCTGTCGGACAGCTTCGTGACTGTCGACAGCCTATTCGTGGCCAAGGACAGCGCGCGGAAAAGGAGCAGGTGAATGGGCTTTAGCAGGTGGACGGGGCCATGGCAATCCTGACATGACCTCGAAGGCCGCGACGTTTTCCTTGGGGGTTGCTGAACCAATGGCGGATGTCACCATCAACGTACCTTTTCTCTCTGGCAATGGTTGAAGTGTGAAACTAAAAATTCATTGGACGGCCTTGCTTTCTTCCATGAGCTACTCCAACTCACGCATTGGTCCAAGCAAAGGCGCAGGGATCTCAGCGTGCAGAGACATTTACGGCCCCGAGCAAGACATGATGCGCTTTCCAACTTTTGCGGGGCACGTGACCCTCGATGCAGGGATCTGAGAAGTGGGGATGGTCCAGCAAGAATGCCTTCGAGCCTTGCGAACCTCAGAAATATCGAACACTTTCTCGTTTGTTGAAACACGTCGTGGCTCAACGACACCACCACAGGTATCATTGTGTCAAAAGTTGCCGGACGATGAGAGCTGCTGCGAAGGCGTCTTTCGCCCCTGAATGGTAAGCGACAGGGCGAGAAAGATACTTGCGGAGATTCTGCTGCGATTGCACAACACCGGAAGGGCTTCTGGACGTTCGCGGGCTTTCGATGCTCTCATTTCCCACGACACGAGGCAGATCCATTCTGGAAGACAGTTTTTCCGACGTCCTTATTGCAGCGCGGGCAGTGGCTGCTTCCTGCCGCCGGACTGGGTTTTGATCGTGACCCTCTGTTGCGTGGCCGCCAAGGCGCCCTCGGCCAAAAGGCCTGGTCCAGGCGTGAAGAGATTTAGAGGGAAATTCTGACCGAAGAACGGCACTGGAGTCGGCAACCACACCCATCCATTCATCCATTGTGCGAGAAAAAATGTTCGGAGTATGCTGACGCTGGATCAGTAA